CACCGCGTGTAAGTAATATAAACCTGGTCAGGACAACCAGGGTGGCTTTTTGCCACAGAAGACACGAGGTTCCCTACGCAGGCGTCTCTGTGCGTGAAAGCCATTGGTCAGGTCTCCCTTTTCTCCCAGGAAGCTAATATTCTGAAAAGAGATCCGGGCACAACAGTTTCATTCTTATATCATGACTAATAGATTGCTGGTAGCCTGGGTTGGTCCTGAATTAAACAGGAAGTGTCAGATAAAGACACATGTGCTAGCCAGGGTTGGTGGCGCATACCTGTAATCCAAGCACTTGGGAAGCTGAGGCAGAAGAACTGCCACAAGTTTGAGACCACGTAGTGAGTTCAAGGCCAGGGTGAATTACAAAAGCTTTAAGAATACTGAGTGCACCATTTCAGAGGTCACAGCATAATTCAGGAGTTGGGATATTAGGAGTAGCTATGGAGGAGGAACCTAAACTGCAGATTTACAGTTGCCAGCTCTCAACCCAGGTTAATGAATTTAACCTGGGATTCATAAACATGCAAAAGTACTGCAACTGGTTACATGGGGAGGAGACGGTGTTTGCTTTAATGCCCTGTAATGTGTGTGCCCGTGAAGATGGAATAAATTGTAACACTGAAACAGTAAAATAAAGCCATAGGTCCTTGGGCTGGTGTCGGGACTGAGCAGTATCTATTTTGTAAAGACATTTGCAAAGACACAGCATGTGGGATGAGGGTGTCCTGGCCGCAGCACTTGCCACCCTCTTTCTCCCCTCTGCCCCCCGTTCCCCTCCTGAAGCCACAGGCACAGTTGTGGCAAAGAGCCTTTCCGCCCCATGATCCTTTTCTTGTCAAGGGTGGACAAGAGCTGCATCCCCTTCAACACCCTCCAAACCAAGCTCCCAAACATGGGAATCTCACCACGGATCAGCAGAAGTCGATGAACATTTACCACGATGACAGGAAACACAGCCCTTCAACCCCAATTCAGCAGCGGACCTGGACTGCAAACAGCTGCTCTCAATTATTTTATTTTGAATTTTGTCAATAAATATTTTTTGTTTTTGAGACAGGTTCTTGCTGTGTACCCCAGGCTGGCCTCAAACTCGTGGTGTTCCTCTTGCCTCAGCCTCCCGAGCGCTGAGATTACAGGTATGCACCACCATGCCTGCCGTGTCAAAAAAATTTTTGTGGAAACTTTCATTTTAAATATTTATATAATATCATTGATTTTGCTTCTTGGTCTGCAAAGCCTAAAATATGTACTACCTGGGCCAGTGATTAAGCTCAGTGGTGCCCGCCTGCTGCCTCACAAGCACAAGGTCCTGAGTTCGATCCCCAGTACCAAAAAAAAAAACTACCTGACCCTTTCTAGAATGTTTGCCAAGCCCGGACCCAGATGAACACCTGACAACTACATGCAGCTGTCCCCCTGGATAGCTGACAGTGACTCAAACAAAACCCTTGCTCCACTCCCAACTTCTTACATTCCTGTCTTCTCAAACAACCTCTCATTCAACTGCTCAATCCAGGTCTCCAGAGCTCTTCCTTCGTATCCTGACCTCCTCAGCCTATTAACTGACCACATGCAACAGCTTTAACTCATCTACCTCTCTGCAGCATGTGCTGCCTCCCCCTCCTCTGTCTGCACGACTGAAAGTCTAATTGGTCCTCCTGCTTCCGCTTGGTCCCTAACGATCCAATATTCACTCTGTAGAGGAATCTTTTTAAGATGCTGAGAGCACTAGTCCCCTCCTTAAACTCCTTCTCCTCTTCAGTGCTGGGGTTTGAACCCAGGGCCTTTGACATGTTAGGCAAGCACTCTACTGCTAGGCGACATTCTCAGCCTTCACACCCCTACTGAAAACTCTTTATAGCCTTTCTATTGTGCTTCCAAATCCACATTCTTTATTGTTTTTGTGGGGGTTTTGGGTACCGGGAATTGAACTTGGGACCTTGTGCTTGCGAGGCAGGCGGCGGAACCACTGAGCTAAAAACCCGGCCCTCCACATTCTTTATTGTGATCTGAAAGGTTCTGCTTGACCCAGCCCCAACCCACTTCTTCAATCACAACTCATTCCTCCCTCTCTGCAGCTCCAGGCCCATCAGTCTCCTCGCTGAACAAACCAATCCCTTCTCTTTCTTGACCTCTGCATCTACTAAACACTTTATCAAAACCATCTGGCCCCCTCCTTTGCCTATTAGATCAGTGCATGTGGCTTTCCTTTTCTCTTACTCTCCTCCTTACCTGGTTTATTTCCTCGTCACACTGGAAGGTAAGCTTATGAGGACAGGCAATCCCCACATGCAGTGGGTAACCGTGGAGGATTGGAGAACATCTACTGAACAGAAGAAATCGCTAGACATGGGGAAGTAAGAGCTACCATGGCACACCGCAGAGGTCCTACCAAGCCTAATGGTCAGGGAGATTCCTAGATGACCCAACGTTTATTTATTCACTTAAGAAACAGGGTCTCGCTATGGATTCAGACTGCCTCAACCCATCCATCCTCTTGCCTCTGCCTCTCAGTGCTGGAATTGTGGCATATGCCACTGCACCCAGTGATGTGACAACTGAGATTGGAAAAGAGGAACTTTCCCCTTGAGAGATGAGCACAAGAAGCAGGCAAAGTAGGGGCCTAGGGGAGACAACAATGAGCGGTGAGAGTTTAGAAACTGGAACCAGACCACTGGGCTTCATGAACAAGTATGAGGAAGCCAATGCAAGATGTAAGCTGGACAGTGGTGAAAATATCTCTTCGTTTAGAAAGCCCACTTTGGCCATAGTATGTAAAGTAGGAAGAGAAGCAAGCCAGAAGACAGGAGACAAAACAAAAAGAAAAACCCACAAGAGAGCAGTTAGGAGTATTAGTGAGGGTAAGGAACTGAAATATTTAAGAGGGCTGGATATGTAGCTCAGAGGTACAGCACCTGCCTGGCACATGCAAAACCTTGGGTTCCATCCCCAGCACCAAAGAAAACAAAATGTGTAGAGCTGGGAGTGTAGTTCGATGGTAGACCACTTGCCTAGCACACAAGGCCCTGGGTTTGCTCCCCAGCACTGGAGCGGGGGGTAGGGGTAGCACTGGCAGGAGAGATGGGGATCCAGGGAGACTCTCAGGTCTCAACCTTGGGCATTTGGGTGGACAGTGGAACAACTACCAAACCCAGACACAGTGGAGAGGGAGCAGGCTAGAGTGAGGTAGAGTATTCTAGACATACTGAGGTTGAAATGTCTGAAGTTATCTCTTCAGCTGGTTTGAGTCTCTTAAAATAATCCAGGGTCCAGGGTCCAAGCTCCTGTGATGCCTTTTTTCCTACTCTTTGTTAATGGGTCTCTTCTTGGTAGACTTGCACATGACACATGGATCATTCCACCCTTCCTCTGGTTTCACATTTTTTCCCCGGAGGGAAGGTTTCAATGTGTACAATAGTGTTTCTACCATCCCCATTATCTGCTTTTACACTCCCTACTCCCTCTTACTCCCTTCCTCTTGTCTAATAGTCATCTCCATGTATTAGGAAGAACACAATTATTTATCTGAGTCTGGCTTATTTTGCTCATCGTGATGGTCTCCAGATCCAACCAGTGTTTTGCAAACGACAGAATTTCATTCCTCTTTGTGGTTAAATAATACTCCATTGTATGTATGTGCCACATTTTCTTCATGCAGTCATCTGTTGATTCCATACCTTGGGTATTGTAAATTGTGCTGCAATAAACATGGGTATGCAGGCACCCCTATAGTACGCTGACTTTAATCCTTCAGGTATACCTGAGTGGTAGAGCTGGATCAAATGGCAGTTCTATTTTCAGGTTTTTTGGTTTTTGAGAAAGGGTCTCACTTTGCAGTTCAGGCTGGCCCTGAACTCAGTATGTAGCCCAGGCTGGCCTCGAACTTGTGGCAATCCTCCTTGCTCTACCTCCTGAGTGCTAGGATTACAGGTGTGTATCACCACGCCTGACTATTTTCGGTTTTTTGAAGAGCCTCCATGCTGATTTCCATAGTGGCTGTACTAATTTACATCCCCACTAGCAGTGTAGAAGGGTTTTTTTCCCCTACAACCTCAATAGCATTTATTGTTTTATGCATTCTTGATGTAGCCATTCTGACTAGGGTGAGAGAGAATCTCAATGCAATTTTGATTTGCATTTTCCTAATGCCCAGAGATGATGAACTACTCTTTTCATCAGTGCTGAGTACATAGTGGGTACTTGTGATTGAAGGAAGAAAGGAAAGAAGGAAAAAATCTATGTGGGTTTGTGGGTTAGGAAAACTAGAGATACAAAATTGAAGATCATCCCTATTTAAATGGTTTAACTTCAGAGTGACTAACATCACCCAGGAATTACAAAGTTAGAAGAGGGCAGAAAGAGCCCTGAAGAACTCCAGCACTTAACAGACAGGTAATAACAGAAATAATATCTAATCCTTGCTGAGTACTACACACCTAATTCCATTTGGTTGAAAATATTTTTCTTTTGAGAGGCTGAGGCAGGAGTATTGCTGCGTTCAAGGCCAGGCTGAAATACGCAGCGAGACCCTGTCTCACAAATAAAAAGGAAAATATTTCCCCTTATGTGTGCAATCCTTCCCTAGGAGAACTGATCTAAGCGCAGGTATAGGAAGCTGAGGACTGCAGGTCCCACACATACAGCATCAGCTAACATTTACTTAGGGATTACTGTGCACAAGGGGCTGTTCTAAGTGCTTTACACGTATTAATTCACATAATCCTACGAGTATGGTTAGGCGCTAATACAGAACTATGACATGGAAGGTGAGGTCAGGATGAGGAAATAATTCAGAGCTCTGGAAATAGGGCTACATTTAAAACAAAATCTTTCATCATGGAACTAACTTTTCTGAATAATACTTTAAAAACTAACCAGGTATTTTAATTGGCTTGATAGAATTGGCAGATTTCACATCTTTTTTTCCTTTCAGTTTTTTGAGATGGATCTTGCTATGTAGTTCAAGCTGGCCTCAAACTCACAGCAATCCTCCTGGCTCAGCCTCCAGAATGCTGGGATTACAGGCGTGCTGGTTTGACATTTCTTAAACACTAAATGCAAAGCACAGCTGGCTGTAAGGATCCCCCAAGGAGGTAATCAATGGAGAGCAGTCTGCTGTGGGCTGACCAGCACACTCTCCACTGTCCTGACACTCCCATTTTCCTTTGAAGATGCCGTGCCCACTTTGCTGCCATAGCAACATTTTGGATTTTGTTGTTGTTGCTGTTTTGCTTTTCATTATTTCCTTTTCTTTTAAATTAAAAAAAGATTATTAGTTCATGTTTGCAGCACTAATTGCATTTATTGTGGGAGCTGGCACATGTGCATCTTGGCAACGTTTTGATGGAGTGGAATGGAAGTGCTCTGGCCAGAGGACAGACATGAGGCTCAAAGTTTTCTCCCAGGAAATTTAACCCTTAGACCAATGACAAAAGAAACAAGAATCAGGGCTGGGGTGCAGCTCAGTGGTAGTGTGTGGGGTTAGCATGCTCAAGGCCCAGACTCAATCCCCAGCACCAAACAAAAAACCCATCAGCACCTCACAACATATGACCAAGAATTCCTGCTCCATGAACCCCGGAGCTGATCCTGAGCTTGTTCTCCAAACACTGGTCCTCGGGCCCTTCCTTCCATTCCAGGAATTCTGTAAATTCCCCTTCAGTAAGGAGAGCCAAGACCAGCTGAGACGCTTGCAACCAACAGATCTGTGCTGCCAAAGAAGGTGGTCACCTAGAGTAAGTGCCAAGAACAGTGGATGGGTGGGGCCAGTCCATCCAAGATGGGCAGGCTCCTTTCCAATCTTCCTTCCCGCTGTGTTCAGTCCTTACCATGGAGATGGGACTGTGTCTCTTTAAGAGGCCAACAAATCCCAGCTAGGATTCACCTTCTCGGCCACAAAGTCACATTTCTCTAAACGCCACACCTGACAACTTTTGAGGAACATACTTTAGGAAGGTGATTACTTCTGGCCCCGACCCTCACTTCAACTCCTATTCGCCATCACCGTATCAGTTCTGCCACCCACACTAATGGCCATATTCTGGCACAGGGAAGAAATGTTTGTGAAACCTCTGCTGCCTCTGTATGAAGGTCTTTACTCAGTCAGCTTTCTTTGTGCCACTGAAGTAGCTGGTACTGTCCCCATCATGGACTTCTTATACCACGTTGTAATTATTTATCTAGCTCCAGCACTGGCCGTGAACTTTTTGAGAGCAGAGTTAAACAGGGTTAGTATAATGCTTTGGGACTATTTGTATAATAAATCAAAAAACAATCGGGCCAAAGATGTAGCTCAGTGGCGCCATGCCTGACTGGCAAGCGCAAGGTCCTGAGTTCAATCCCCAGTGCCGAAAAGAAAAAATTAAACATTATACCTAATAAGGAAGTTGGGGGAATATCCTAGGTAAAGATCATGTGAACCAATCCCTTTTAAAAAAAAAACACAGGAGTGGTTCCGCCACCTGCCTCGAAAGTGCAAGGACCCAAGTTTGATCCCCGGTACCAAAAAAATAAAAAAATAAATTAAAAAAGACAGGAAACCAAGTAATAGTAATAGTTGTCAGACAGTGAAAGGTAACTTACCTGAGGTTATTCAGTGGCAGATCAGGGCCCAAGTCCAAGTTAGTGTTCTGTGGCTATTCGTGAAACCATTCCATTCTTCTTCCATCAACGAAACTAGCTGCAAAAGGAACACACTCATTCTACAGCTCTGTTCTCACATCTCTTCCACACAAATTACTTGATCTAATCCACTGTCAATTTAGATTTCAGGACAAAGTTTATTTGAAGAAATTAAGTAACTATTAAATCTCCTCCTCCCATTCCAATATCTACCCCTTCACCTCTCCACAGAAGAGCTGTCTCTATCAAATGCGGGATGGAAAAGGAGGCAGCATGGTCCCACTGTGCAGTTACTCTAGCTCTCGGCATGTGCAGCCCCAACCCTGAGTCCCTCTGACCATGGCAACTTGTTTTAGAGAGTATTCGTGCTACCCTGAGCGCATTTTAGTCAGCTGCCATCTCCTGAGTTCACTGGTCACGTTCATCACTGTGATCAACATACAAGTTATCAGTGGTGGTGAAAGGCAGACAAGAGGATTTAAGAATCCTATTTAAGAAGATTCTATGAATGACCTATGGAATGCTCAATTTGTTAAAGTGCTCAACTACAACATGTTAAAAAGGTGTTGGGAAAATGTCTACTGGTGAGAAAGCAAAGTTCAATCTGAAGGGCTTTTGGAAAGATACAACAAACAGAAGTATGTAAAAAGAATTCTGTTCACACAATGTCATAAATAACAAGGAGACTAAAGCCAGATCTGACTTATTTGAACTCCAAATCAAGTATCTCCAGTTGAAGACCAGCTCCTTTTAACTTTTCATGGATACTAAATAAAACATTTATCATTATGTTGCTTTGCTCTAACTCGTCTCTTCCTAAATAACTTTCTAATCTGAACTCTGGTTTCCTCCACAGATATCAACACTATAAAAAAAAGGTCCATTCTGGGCAAGAGTTGATTTAAAGATGTCCTATAAACTACTTATAGGGTGGTTAATAGAAAACTGGGTGAAATGAGAAATCTTGAGCTTCTAAATCTATCAAGTAAAGGCTCATACTCAACAAGAAGTCCAAAATACATCTCTTGGCATGATTACAGGATACGGGACTGAGGGTGGGTTAAGTATCCACCAGCAGCAGTGGCTGTCTTTCCGTAGGAGTTAGTGTACATCTTAGCAGTCACTTGTAAGTCCAATGGGCAGTAGCCCAACCCCGATCCTTGCATAGGTCCCGGTGTCGAAGGAAACAGGCATGGACTCGGAACCGTCGGCCACAGTGGGGACAGGCATGCAAGGCTCCAGCATGGGTCTTCATGTGTTCAGTGAGATGATGTTTCAGCTTGAAGCGCTTGTTGCAGATGCCACAGCCAAAAGGCCGAAGACTGAAAGTCAGCATGATGTGCCGGTCACGTTTTGGCTTTACTGCAAACCGCTTCCCACACAAGCAGCCAAAGCGTTTTCCATCAGCAGGGGGTGTTCCCCCCAGTTTCACAGGCCCATGCACAGCCTGCCCTGCTCCCCCAGGTCCTCCACCCCCTGACAGGATTTCATTCCCATGAAGATCCACTGGTTTCCAGGAAGGACCCCCACTTCCAGATGTTGCCCCTGCTCCTGAGGGTAACAAGAACCTTAGCTCACCATTCCCTTCAGAGTCCCCTCCAGGAAACACTTTGGTCTCCTCCTTTGCTCCTCCAGACTGAGTTCCACCTCCTCCTATTTCCTCCTTAGGCTCATAAGGTTCCTGCTTAATGTAGAAGATTTTAGGGGGCAGTGCAGGAGAGGCAGGAGGCTCAAGTGGTGCACTCTCGCTCTCTGGAAGCCTGCGGGGAGTAGCAGATATGGGCAGTGGGTGGGAGCCATGAGTACAGGGAAAACTCCCTGACACTCTCTGAGGTTGAGGAGCCTGAGAGCTCCTCAAAAGTGTAGCTGCTGACTCCTGGTCTTCTTTTTCTTCTTCCTCCTCCTCCTCCTCCTCTTCTTCTATCTGAATTTGCAATACTTCTCCCAGTTCACTTCCCTCCCCTCCAATGGGGCTCTCTGTAGAAGCAGGACTCTCAGTAGCAGTGGAGGGCTGCACTGAAGTCTGGAAAGGGGAAGAGCGAAGGCACCAACCTCCTTGAGAGGACGTGGCAGAAAGAAGCGTGTGGCAGGAGGCTCCTCCTCGGGCTGAAACTCCACCACCAGAAGTTTCCAGTTTTCTAAGAATCTCTGAGCACTGATCTACTACTTGCCACATCTGAAGGCCACTGGCTACAAGGAGATGGGCCGGAAGAGCATCCAACGGCAGGCGGAGGTGCCCTGAATAAATGAGCTGAAGCAGCCCCTCGAACGCATCGGCTTCAATGACACTGGGAAGGGTGAGTCGCGGTGCGTCTCCCAGAAGCAGCTTGTCATGGAAGTAAGGAGAGGCAGCAGCCAACACTGCTTTGTGAGCCCTAAGTTCCCGGCCCTGCACCAGGAGGGATACATCACAGAACTTTCCCTCCAGCCTGTGGCGGTTCAGGGACTCCAGCAACAACGAGCTGTGCCGAGGGAAGGCGATGTGAATTGTCCGTGGGGCTGGGTTGCAGATCGGAGAGGGGGTTTCAGGAGGCAAAGGCGTCGAGGAATCCATAATCTCAGCGAGATCCCAGAGAACCGTAAAGAGATGGGAGTTTAGGCGTGAATTTTACGCAGGACAAAGGCTGTGAAGGAAACAGACGGGGGTCACAGAAGCCCTGGACAGGGAGAACCGGGTCTCCTCGAACTACCCCTCCCGTGCCCCCCAACTTGGGAACCTTTCAGTCAGCGGCAATTCCGGCAGATGAGTCCCGCCCACCGAGAACAAAAACAACAACACACCAACCAAGGTTTTGACTCCCAGCTCTGGGGAAGACGAGGAGGTGCTTTAGCCGCGAGCCCGACCTCGCCGGCTGCGGACGGCCCCGTGCCGCACCCCTCCGTTCTGCCTCACGTGCACCCAGCGGCTGGGTCCCGGGAAACCTCGGCCCCCCCAGACACCACGAGGCCGGGGCGGCTGCTTCCCCGCCGACACGCCCCCGCCCTTACACACGCAACAAGGGACGCGCGGCGCCTCAGCAGCTACCACGCCGTTCAGGGCCGGAAGCCTCCGCCTCCTCGCCCCCTCGCCGGACGCCGTAGCCGGGGGCGCAGGGCGGGACTGAGGCTTCAGCCAGTCGCAGGGTGGAGGCCTACAAGCCTCATGCTCATTGGCTGGACGGGCGAGAGGGGAGGGGCTGGTAGACAGCGGCGGTCCCCGAGGCCGCGGCCGGGGAGTCTGGGGGAGCTGGGCGCGGAGGACGTGGACCGCGGGCTCCGAGAGCAGCGTAGCGATTAAGCGTGGCGCCTCCCTAACCCCGGTGGGCGCTGAGAGGAGTGAGGTTTTTGTCGTCTGTGTGGGCTGGGCACTTGGGTCCTCCCAGCAGCCTGGCGAGGTAGGTGTGGCCGCCCTCCGTGTCCATCGCGGGAAACCGAGGCCGGGAGACCCGCTCGGCTGGCAGCGGGAGGTCGGGAGCCGGACTTGCTAAGGAGCCGGTGCTTTCCTCCGTTTCGCACCGCAGTATTTTAACAATCAGTCTCATTTCCCGGCGATCACTCGGAGAAGGATGTGTACTCTGTACTCGGCTGTGCCTCTGCCCAGTCAGGCCAAGCGAACAGGGCGGGTGTGGCCAGCGCCAGACCCCTGCTCCAACGCGGGTCTCGCTGGATGGGAGAGCGGCACTCGAGGGGACTGTGGCACCGAGCAGGGATCTATGGCTTTTGCCCCCAAGCCGTCCGCTTCCTTTCAAGGAGATCCTGTCACCCTGCTGTTGGGCCTGGAGACCCAGGCCAAGAAAGTCAGCGCCGCGATAAAAGAACAATCTCCGTTTATTAAACATGATTTTTCTGTTTCACCACACACTCCAGAAAAAAAGGAAATGGGGCTGGGAGAAAGGGGCACTGGTTGGGGATAGAGAAGGCTGGGGGTGGAGCGGGGAGGGAGAACGAGAAAACAAAATAAAACAGGCAGGAAGAACATCTCCCTACCCTTCGGGTTGGGGGTGGAGAGCGGAGGGCAGGGGGAGGGGGCCAGGAAGCTCTGTACAGAGGGGTCGCCCCAGCCCACACACGCACACCCCGGATATGTACAGTACAAACCCCAGATAATTACAACAGCCAAAGAAGAGAGGAGGAAGGGGGTCCCGGGGCAGGGCCTGAGGTGGGGAAAGCAGAGGAGAGGGCACAGGGATAAAATTTCACATATTTACAACTTTTATATAAGTATAAATTTGGCCCCGGCTGGGTGTATGTGTGTAGGGGGATGGGACGGAAGGGGAACTGTCCATACAAAAGAAAGAAGGGTGGACTCTGGGAAGTCTCAATACCAAACGTAAGAAGGGATGAGGGGTCAAGGCTGGGTAGGGGACAGCAGCCAGGGAAGAGGGGGGCCGAGGAGGGGCTTCTTCCTTCCCATGGCCGACCCGCCCCAAGCCCCATCCATCCTACTTCCCCTGTCCCGCCAGAGAGCTATGTACAGAGAAACACCGAAAAATTGTGGACTGGCGGGAAGGAGAGAGGTGGACGGAGGTTGGGGCAGGGGGAGGATGAGAGGGAAGCCCAGCCCTGTCCTGCCTCCCCAGGGGGACAGTCACGGAAGGGGGCCCCCCAACACCCCTCCTCCAACACAGGTCCCCCCCACCCTGGGGGAGAGAGACATGGCTTTTCCTAGAGTAAGTTCCCCCTCCCCCGGGAGTGGAGGCCGAGGAGGAGGGCCGGGGGCTGCTGGGGTAGGGCGGATGACTAGTCTGTCTCCCCAACGTACACACCCTCCTAACCCCAACCCCTCGCCCTAACCTCACTTCCACCCCACCCAACACACTGGGGGAGGGGGGGGCATATGCCCCCTCACCCCGCTCTGGGACCAGCCGAGAGCAGATCAGGTGTGGGAAGAAGGGGAGAGAACTCCCATTCCCCCCTTGCCGCCCCCTCCCTGCCCCGGTGGCCCCCTCCACCCCATCTGGGTTCTGGGTGGGGAGGGAGTAAATTTAAGAGTGGGAGGAGGAGTTTGTGCGTGCTGAGCCCCCCCAGACGCTCCTGAGAAATCAAGGGGTAATAGGGCCCCTCACCCGGGGTCCCCTCCCCATAACAAGGGGGGCAGGGGAGGCCAAAATGGGGCGGTGGAGGGGAGTTAAGATTGTCAGCTCTGGTTACTGCTAAAAAAATCACCCTGAAGTTGAAAGTTTGGGGGTGCCACACCCCCAGGGTGGGGGGAGGGTCTGTCCCCCAGTGCTCAGGGGAACGATGAGGCAGAGGGTGGGGATAGCACCCCGGAGTGGAGGGGTCTGTGTAGGGCAGGCGGTGTCCTGGGCCAAGGGTCCCTGGGGGTCAGAGAGGGGCAGCACCCCAACAGGAAGGAAAAGGGCGGCTGAGGGTCCCCCTTCCCTCCCGGAAATGGTGCGATGGGGGAGGGGGTCCGGTGCCCCCAAGGAGGCGCTCAGGGAGGCAATCCCGCTGTCCCTCGGTGCCGGTGCCGGTGCCGTCCAGTCCTGGCGGCTGGTGCTGCTCTGGGGCGGGGGAGGAGGTCTGCGATGCGGGCTAGTGGTCTGCGGTGTTTCGGAACTCGCCGTTCTCTGTGATCTGCAGCCGGGGCGGGGGAGGCGGGGCAGGGGGGGCCAGGCCGTTCCAAGGTGGGGCCAGCGTCACACGCGGGTTTGTTGGACCCAAGGGGGGAAGCTGCCTCTCCTGCAAGACACCAAAGAGGAGAGCGCGGACTTATTGAGACGCTTCGTGGGGGCCTGGCTGCCAGCCCCTAGCAGTGACCTCCCGAGCCAGCCCTCCGGACGCCGCGCCGTGTCCACCCCTCCTCCCAGCAGTGTCCACCTCCTCCTGCCCTGCTTCTCACCTGCAGGACTCGGGGGTGGAGGAGCAGCTCATCCCAGCCTCCTAACTGCGGCCTTCAAGCCTTCAACCCAGTGTCGCACCAGGAAACCAGCTCAAAAGCTGCAGGCGCCCGTGTCACCCCCAACCTCACACGACCTCTCACCCGACCTCGCCTCCGGGGCCCGGCCCCGCCCACCCCCCTCCTCCTGGAGTCCTTCGCCCCCAGCCACCCCCGCCCCAAGAGGGAACTTGCATTGAGGAACCAGGGGAGGCAGTACAGCAAAACCTCATTAATCCAAACCCCTGGGGATTTGGAATTTTGTCATAATTTGAACAAAAACTGGGCTTGAGTTTGCCTTTATCTGTGAAGAAAGGGTGTGCTAAGCAAATGAGCGGTGGCAATGTGTCTGTGGGAGGGGGTTTTTAACCTACAGCAGCAAACTGACGTTTCAGTCCTATCTTTTCACTGAGGCATGCTCCCTGAGGGCCAGCGTGGACAAAGCCTCGTTCACCAAGTTCTACTTACTGTATATATTTTGAAGACATGCATTTCATTAAACACACTGTCATGCAGTTTTGTCACTTATTCAGAGTGGCCATCTCAAATATAACATCCCAAATTACAGAGGTTTAACTGTACTGGGGGGAAAGGAAGGGGATTCAGGGAAGTGATGTGGGAAGGGGAAGCTTGTGGGAGGCCTGCCCCTCTCTCTCACTTGGCAGAGGTGACCAGGAGCTCTGTGGAGACACAGCAAGCCCCAATCTGCATCCCTGGGGAGCAGAACGGGCTCCATTCCTGTGCACCCCCACTTTCCTTTTCATTTGGGCCCTCCCTGGGCTCCCAGCTGGAGGGCGTGGGTTCCAGACCCCACTCCCACCCTGGTCCTATTCTCATCTCCTCCTGTGGCTCCCAGAGCAACTGCAGGTTCCTTCTGTGCCTTTGCTGGGAGAGAGGAAAGTCACCAGAGTCCTCCCACACATCTGGTCACTCACTTAGCTTTTTAAATTAGTGGCTGAGTGGCAGAGGGACCGATACCTGCAAGCGGTTTAGAAAAAATGTCCAAATGACTTCTGGGACCACCAGGCATTTAGGGCTGGTGAGGGTGCTGTGCTTGGCCAAATCACACGGGATCCCAGAGGCTCCAGATCCGCTCTTTCACCCCAGGACACTGAACTCACCTCCCAGGTTGCCCAAAGCCCAGCCTTAGGCAAAGTGGCCCTCTTAGCTGGCCAGTTGGTGGGACAGGAAGTGACGCTTGGCTGGGTGCGCTGAGCTAGGTAGGGGAGCAGGAAGGAGCCTCAGACTCCCTTGCCTCTGCTGTCTACTGATGACGGCACATGGGCATGCCCCTACACCCCCGTGGACCCAAATTTAGAAAGCAGATAAATAAGGGTGCCGTTATTCATTTTACAAAAGAATTCCCGGCAGGAGCCCTGGAAATGGCGAGGTCCCCTGGTGCCTTTGAGCATCTGTTTACAGATCACTAACTGCCTTGACAGAGAGGCTGGGCTAGCAGAGTTAAAATTACAGTGTGAGGGGCCACTGCCCACTGCAGATCAGTCCCACAGAAATGTGCGTCTCAGGAATGATGTCGGCAGCTGACAGGTTCCCATTTAGGCTTTTTTAGGCAGGATGATGTGTCTGGCAAGGCCACTGGGTGGTAGGAGAGGGGAATGAATGGCATGAACAACCCCAGGATGTGAGCTATGCACGCCTGTGATCCCAGTACTCAGGAGGCTGAGGCAGGAGGATCGCTACAAGTTTGGGCTACATAGTGAAACCCTGTCTCAAAAAAACACAACAGAACAGAAAGAATAGAGGTTATTTGACATGCTGTTCCCAGCATCTGTGTCTGGGAAGGGCCTGGCTGCTGAGCCATGACATGAAAGCAAAGTCTCATCTCAGCCTCCTGGCTACTCGGCCTGTCCACGTCCTAACATCCATCCAAGGTCCTTTGCTTTTCCTACCACCCTGGATTCTGTCAGGACAGCTCCACGGTGTCTTTTCCAGGGCCCTCCCAAGTCACCAGAATTAACTGCCACTCCTGATTCCCACTGGGAGGGCTAACTCAAGCCCCAGATACAGTCTGCTCTCGGTGTAAGGGAGGAAAGAGAGTGAGAGAGAGGAGCGGGAAGGAGGAGGGTAGAGAGCCAGGCCTGGGGAAGAGGAAACCCCCACCTACCTGCTGCGCCCCACATGGCCTCTATAGCCCAGCCCCCACCCCTTCAGACTCCGGCTGTAACAACCCGTCCTCGATGCCCCAGCTCCCAAGGACGCTCTGGTGAAATGGGGGGTGACAGACGCACACTGGAGAGGCAGAGGAGAGGGGCGGAGTCGGGAGGAGGCCGGAGAGGTAGGTCTGGGGCGCGTGGCCTGCGTGTGTTGGGGTCTGTGGGGCTCAGACTCGGCACTGGAGGCGTGGGGGGCAGTGTGCTCTCTGGGTGGTGCTGGGGCTCTGTGTGGGGGGGGCGGCAGTGAGGGGAGAGGCTCCGGAGAGAGAGGTGGAGGGGTGGGCTTCATGACCAACCTGCAGTGGTCCGGAGTCACCTCCCCCTGTGTCCTCCGCCCGTGGTCAAAGCGGAACCAGGAGAATTACCTGATGAGGAGCTGCAGGGGGAGAGAGCGGGGTCACGGGGTCAGGAGCCTTGGTGGTGCAGCGGGGAGGCCTGGTGGTCAGAGCAGAGGAGGGAGGAGGATGGGGGAGCGAGGGCCGGGGTGCAGAGCGAGGGCCTCGGAGCTGGACCAAGTTCCGGAGGGAGGCCGGGCTCAGACACCGAGGGGAGTGGGTTCCAGGGGAGGCCTTCACGAGAGGCGGGGAGAGGAAGCTATGCAGGAACTGCAAGAGAGTGAGGGGGACCCTGAGCCTCCAGGGGACCCCTGTGCTCCACTCCAGCCAAGAGCGACTTCTAGCGCGCCTGGCCCAGAGAGCTCAGAGGAAGCTGGACTCCTGCTGTGGGCTCCCGCAGCCACGCGGGTCTGGGCAGAAGATCGTGAGGCGCGGACAGGCGTGGGAGGAGGGTGGGAAGGCACGGGTGGGGCGGACACTGCCGGAGTGACGCAGGCAGACGATGGGATGGGGATGGCTCACGGGGGCTGCACGGAGCAGCCAGCGGACAGAGGAGGACGGAGCACGCGGAGACCACGGTGATGGGGCTGGGCTGGCCGGTGCGGCGAGTGCACGGAGGACAGTGGGATGGATGGGGATGGGACACGGAGAAGATAAATGACATTGTAATTTCCACCTGAGCGTCGAGCAGCCTCTTCTTGGGCTCGGGCAGGGGCTCAGCCATGGCGGGGTGGTCCCGGCGCAGCTCCTCCTCCACCAGCATCAGCCTGAAGGGACGGGCTTCAGTGGGGTTAGTGGCGGGCACAGGCTCAGAGCCGGCCCCGGAAGAGGCTCACCCCCAGCCCTGCGCTGGCGGCCCCAGGCCCTCACATCTCCCCGCTGAGGACAGCTTCCTGTGCCAGCCCGCAGGACCGGGCTTCCCTGAGCCCCTGAACCGAGGCCACCTCTGCCAGCCACTCCCGGCCCCCAGACCAGGAGAGGCCTCAGCAATCCTTGTCGTTCCTGGCATCTCCCTGCCTTTGGGGAGGATCCTCAAGGTCACTTCCCGTAAAGCATCACAATGAGAACAGTGGTTTTAAAAGAGGTTTCAGGCCAAGAAGCCCTTTTCTGCTAATGAAGTCTTACTCAAAGATACATGATGCATCAAGCCGGAGCTGGCTCTGGCTGGAGTGGAGCTTGGGGTCCCCGCCTCCGGCCCTCAAGGTAACTGAGCCGTGCTGGGACCTGTCCTTGGGAGCGGAGTGCTCGGCAGAGCAGCTGGAGCCCTGCACCCTCACAGACCCTTTCTGAGGCTGCAGAGAAAGGCTCTGCCCAGGAACGGGGTGCTCGGGGGCTCCTCTGGTTAGGGCTCCCAGCCTAGCTTTTGGGGTGAACCTCACAGGCTGACTTGAGAATGAGCAGTGGGGAGCCCTGGCCTAGCTTCATCTGAACACACTGATGTTTCCCCAGAGCCCTGGGCTCGGGGAAGGCCATTCTGTGCCCTAAGCAGGACGCTCCGCCCCACCTGGTGACAGGTGGGTGCCCCTCCCAGGGCGGCGGGCCCTCGGGTCTCCTGAGCTGGGCACGGGGGCTGGAGGAGGAGCGGGCTTCTTGTTCCCTTTCGCCCCAGGCCTCCCTGCTGCCCTCCCCGGGCCGCCCCTCACCTGCCGATGATGCTCTTGATCTGTGAGTCCTTCTCCACCTGCTGCTGCCTCAGTCTCTTCTCGCTCTGCTCCAGGCGGGCCTGATACTGCATCAGGATCTTGCTGGTCTGTTCTTCCTGGGACAGCAGCCTCCGCTCGTACTCTTCCAGCTTCCGGTTGGACATGTGCAGCCGCTCTTTCAACGAGTGGATCTCCTCCTCGTACTCCTTCACCTGCCCGCCGGGCACAGGACCCCGCACTGTGAGGGTGCCGGCCCCCGTCCCACCAGCCAGCCCCATCCCTGTCTGCCCAGCGCAGCCGCTGTGTGCAGAGGGGCATCTGGCCCGCTCCCTGCCTGCTGGACAACCTGCCCTGCCTTTAGAGGGCTCTGCCATGATGCCGAGGCGGTGTATCTGGGCCCTCACATTCATGTGGGGACAAAGGAGGACCCACACAGCAGCCCAGACTGGACATACCCTGAGTAAGTGTGGCAGGAAATTGAAGAGAAAGTGACTTCAGCCGGAGCCAGCTCAGAAACATAAGACACCAGACGGGGCAAGGTGTGCGGCCCTACGTGTGACTCCTCCTAGCTCTGTCCTAGGGACAGGAGGTTTCGAAGGGGCCCCAGGCTGAGAAACTAGGAATGCCGCTCTGGCAACACAAGCCTGGAACTCGGGCCAGAGAGCTCAGAGGAGTCATTTGTCTGCCTTGCCGGCTCCAGAGTCCAGAGCTGTGCTGCTGTCTTAATAAGGGAGCCACAGCCCACCGGCAGCTATTTTAATATTTTCCAAGCACGTCACAGGAATCAAACCCAGGGCCTTAGATATGCTAAGCACACAGTCTCCCCACACATGTAGCTATGTAAAGGCTACAGATTTTACTTCTGCAATGGTAGCAAGCTATATGTCTAACACAGTAGCTGCATGTAGCTGCCACACTGAATGGTGTGGGTTACGGCACATTTTCATCACCACAGAAGGTTCTACCGGAGAGGACTCGTCTGGAGTGCCCAACAAGGATTCTGCATCTGAAGCAGGGGACAGGAAAAGCTACCTGAGAGACCTTTACCATCCTCTGAACAGGATACATCCACAGCCAACCTCACTAGACACCGAGGGGAGGTGTGTAATCCAGATGCGCTCGGACAAATGCGGCCCCTCGGCCCCCGCCCGACAGGCGCTCCCACAGCTGGTGAAGTAGCTTTTCCTTCCGTTTGTCCCGGGGAAGAACATGGCCTAAAGTAAAACACGCTTCCTCCCAGGGTGCCTACAGTGTACGTAACCTGGGAGACAGCTGCATGGGCTTTTAGATGGACTGAATGACCTACGACAGGCTGGAGCCTTCTCAAGACAGCACGAGGTCTTGGTCTTTCCTTTCCACCCTAAGTCCCTGAGCCTGGATGTTTCCCTTGCAGACTTGAGGTCTCCCCTGTGGGGTCTGGGGGGCCGGGGCCCACCGTACCCTATCTAGACGGCTCTCATCCATCGATTTCGAGTACTCCTTGAGCTTGTACTCTTCCCGCTCGATGTGGGCACTCTCGATATCGGCAGACAGGTGAGGCATGTTGGACACCCAGGCCACAGTCCGCTCGGAGGCTGGCATCGTGGGGTTCAGCGTGGACGGTGTCTGAGAGTGCTGGGACAGGGCACGGCGGGGCGAGAGCAGAGGAGGGAAGGGGCAGGTGTGTGGGGGGGGAGAAGAGCCACCGGAGAGGAAGGTCCCGGGCCTGCTCCCCTGCTCCGGCCCCTAAAGAAGAGACTATTCACATCTCCCCTCTGCAGTGTCAGCGCTGTGAGGGCAGGCGTTTTTGTCTCTGTTCACCACTTCCTTGGGGCTTAATGTGCACACTTGGCCTGCAGCAGGTGCTGCCCTTACGCGTGGAGGCGAGAAGCCGTCACTCAGGGTCTGCCCGCCCTCCCCGCCAGCCCCAGTGGCCTTTCCCTCTCCACTCTTCACCCACCCCACCCTCTCCTCCCCTAACCTACCTGCTTGGTGATGGAGGGCTTGAGCCCCCCAGCCCCTCCGCTGCCGCCCCCGCTGCCCCCAATGCTGCCCTCCTTGCTGAGGCTCTGCTGCCGTGGACGGGCGGGGCCGTAGCTGGGCTCAGGGGACTGCAACAGGTTCCCACTGGATGGCCGGGGTTTCTGGGCCGCGCTGACCGTCAGCTGCTGGGACTTGCCCCTCTGCAGGGGAGGCGGCTGGCCCCCGCCCCCAGCGCTGCTGCCCCCGCTGCCCCCCGCTCCGGGGCCTGAGGGGGCGGGCCTCTGGGGCCCGATGGTGATCTGGGGCGGGGACAGCATGTGCTGCAGGTTGTCCTGGAGAGAGAGCTGCCGGCGGGTGAAGTCAGTGCCAGAGGGCCCAAACTCGTCGCTGTAGCTGTGGCTGTGAAGGATAGAGGCGGCGGGCGGCTTTGGCACCCCCGAGGAGAGGTCTTCGCTCTTGCTGTAGCCATGAAACGGGGCGAAGGTGTCCCCTGGGGGCTCCCCACCTCGGTGGTGGTGATGGTGGTGGTGGTGGTGATGGGCCGAGGGTGGGGCGTGGCCGCTGCCCCCTCCGTGGCCTCCTGGGGGCCCTGGGCCATCGGCGGCCATGTGGAAGAGAGGGTTCTGGAAGGACAGGGGGATCCGCAGCTGCTGGGCGGGGACAGCGTCTGTGGTGACTCCCATCTGGCTGAGGCGCATGCCGGCCGCCGTGATGGACGAGCCGCTGCCCTGGGAGAGGCGTCCCGGAGGTGCAGGCCGAAGCCCCAAGGCCGCGGTCAGCGAGGCCTGGCTGGAGTGCAGCAGGTCCCCGACAGCCGCCAGGTTGGAAACGCTGCTGCTGTTGAGACGCCCGCCGGGCCCGTCGCCCTGCAGGTCCAGCATGGACACGCTCTTGTTGACGCTCAGCATCTTCTGCTCCGGCTCCGTGATGTCCGAGCTGCTAGTGCAGTAAGCTGGCGAGGAGCGGGCCAGGGGGGGTCGGCTCACGTAGAACAGGTCTTTCCCCGCGCCGGGCGGGGGCGGCGGCTTCTCCTTGGTTGGGGAGGGGATGCGAGCCATGTCCATGGAGCTGCGGGAGGGAAGGTCAGGCCTCGGGTGAGCGGGCGCCCCGCCCCAGGAGGGCTGACAGCTGGCACCGGCAGCCCTGAGGCGCCAGGCAGGGAGCCCAAGGCGAGGCGGCAGGAGGGGAGGACTCGGCCCTGGCCCTCTGGGCTCGGGTGACGGGGCAGCAGGAGGGGGATGAGCAGATGAGGGGCACTGCAGAGGTGGGGGGGACAAAGGCTGGCGGAGCAGCAGGAGAGAGAGGAGAAGCCAGGGAGGGGAGAGCCCCTCACCTGTTGAGGCCTCGAGCCATGAAGGACTGAAGGTCGATGGAGCTGGAGAGAGATGGAAACAGGGGCGAGCACAGGCAGAGAGAAGGAGAGGCGCGGATGATGGAGGGGCCGCGGGTGTGGGTCGGATGGCGTCATGGAGGGAGAGGGTGGGCAGGGGTGCAGCACAGCACCCGCCCGTCAGGTAAAGGGCAAGAGCCAGGCCGGGACTCGGACGCTGGGGGCCTGCTCGGCTTCCCGCTCCTCAGTGTCAGCGCGGCTCACAGGGAGGCCTCGGGTGCCGGCCTTATTTACCGAGTTGCACAGAGACGCGGGATTGCTGGCAGCTGATGGCTGAACCAACATGCACCGGCTGAGCCAGGCCAGGGCCTAGCATGAGCAGGGACTGGTGGAGCGGACCTCAGGATCCCTTGGCTCACATCTGAGCTGGGAGCTGGAGGAGCCGACACTCCTGGGGCTCTGCGGCCCACTCCCCCAGGCTTTCAGGGCTCTCGGCCTCCCGCTGCATGCACCTGGCTCTTCACTATTCCCCTATCCCCCCTCCCAGAGCTTGCTGCCTTTTCCCTTCCTTGCAAGCCCTGGCCAGAGGCGAGGTGCCTGGGGCCTGGGGAGAAGTCTCCAGCACAGGAGAGACAGGCTCCTGGGGTGCAGGGGTGGGGTCCCGGTGCTCACCTGTTGAGGTCCCGCATCATGTAGCCCTGCATCTCGGCTGACGGCCCCCGCAGCACCACAGGCTGAGCCCGGGCCCGCTCACTCTGGCGGCTCGGCTGCCTTTGGATGTTGGGATTCCTCAGGGCTGTGCTGATGTCATTGAGGAGCCGGGGCAGTGGGCCCAGCTTCAGGAGGGCCTCCTGGAAGGGCAAGGCTGTCACCTGGGGCCCAGTGCCCGGCTCCAAGAGGGCCTCAGAGAGCAGAAACATTATACAGGGGTCAGTCTCTCAGGCCTCTGGCACCTCGGGGAACCTCGGGAAGGCCTGAGGGGCATTCACTGACCTTGCTGAGTTGGGGCAGCACCTCCCAGAGCAGGGCATGCAGCGTGGAGAGCTCTCGGCCCAAGTCAATGTAACCCTCAAAACTACTGCTGTTGGTCAGCGTGTCCAGGTTGGAGATCTCGTATAGGAACTGCTGCATAGAACCCCACTCCAGCTCCAGGAACTCATTCATGAAACCCAGGAAGTCCTCCTTTGAGGTAAACCTGGCCAGGGTCCGAAAGGCAGAGGTCACGCACCTACAGAAAGCCTCACACCCACCATCACAGGGTCTCTGGGACTCAGGAGCCGCCCCAAGTCCTGTCCACCGCGCCCCACCCCTGCTGGAAGCATCCCTCACTTGGAAAAGTTGGCCAGGTTCTGGATGACCTTGGCGATGAGGGTGAGGGTTCGTGAGGTCTGCTCATCCGGGTACTCCTGCATGAGCCCAAAGAGACTCGGCGACATAATGGCTGGGCAAAGGAAGCGCAGGAAGAGCGAGGCGCTGATCAGCCGGTCGGCGATGTCCTCCCGGCCCCGCTCTGCGCAGCGCAGCCGCCAAGACGCAAACACCTCCTTCAGCTCCCTCGGGAACACGCTGGGGGGAAGGGGTGGGGGGACAGAGAGAGAGAGAGAGAGAGAGAGAGACCGGGACTGAGCCCCAGAGACCCTCAGCTTCCAGGGAACATGCTGAGGGGGGTGGGAGGAGGTGAGGGCGCGGAAACAGAGGCGAGAGAGACAGGGCGGGAGGGACCGCAGGAGGAGGACAGGAGGCTGCTGAAGAAGAGGGCCGCGGCAGAGGGAACGCACAGATCCATCCATGGGGGAGAGAGAGATGGAGGGGAGAGAAGGGGAGGGAGAGAGACCAGGAGAGGAGGAGAAGAAGAACAGACACCAGGGAGAGACAGAGATGGGAGAGAGATGGAGGGTCACTTGAGGTACAGGGCGCTCGGACCCCCCAACTCTGGATTCCAGGGCGATGGGGATGGACTTGCCCCGGTGTGATCCCCAGTCCCTGGAGTGGCTCTGGAGCGCGCGCTCCCGCCTCCCAGCTCCACTTCCGTGTCCCACTGACACCTTAAACTCGGCTTGGCTCAGCATAAGGCAGAGCTCACCATCGCCCCCACACCTCCAACCGGCTCCCCCGCCCAGCTTGGCTTCCCAGATCTGTCACGGAGGCCACCGGGCACCCAGACTGCAGCCTCGTGACCTGGGCCTCCCCTTCCCGGGCCCTTCTCCTGACAACTCCTGCTGGTCCCTTGCTCCAGGGTCCTCAGCGAGGCCCCTTTCTGTATTTCTGGCCCCATTCTTAACAGCCCCTACTCCAGTCGCCCCCTGCACCCCACTCCAGTCAGTCACTCTCAGGCACCACATGACAGCCTCCCGAGACCTACAATGAACTCAACCCGCGGCCTCCCGGGTTCCGACTCATCCCCATCCACACCTCTCCATGACCCTCCCGCTCCCACCTGGAGCTGTGCTGTCCCCACCTGGCAGTGTCTCTGCCTACCCAGCCCCTTCTCTCCCACTCAGCCAGGACACCTCTCCCTGCTGTCTCCCTCAAAGCTGTCTACTTGGCCTGCGCCGCCCCGGGGGACCCTCAGCACTTCCCACGGCCCCCATGACTCCCTGTGCGTCTCCTTTGTCCCCACGCATCCTGGCGGAGGCCCTCTGAAAGCAGGCACCAGGCCTCTGCCTGCTACAGGACCCAGAACAATGCTCTGCCCCTAACTGGTGCTGGGTCCTCTTTGAGGATGGACAGACAGATGAACAGATGAACACACAACTGCCCCGACCCCAGCCCCCTGGCCCAGCGTCCCCAGTCTCACCAGTGGGAGTTGACCACCTTGCACAGGGCCAACTCACAGCACATGCGCAGGTTGGCCTGGTGCTCTGCCAGACTGGACGCAGTGCACTTGATGGGGTCGACTTCGCAGTTCTCCTCAGATTCATACAAAGCACGGATGAACTCCCCTGTGAGGTGGGGCCCAACAGACGGGGGTCACACTTTCCAAGGACAGGGCTGGGGCTGCCCGCAGAATCAGGTGGCTGGAGCGGGGGGCCCTGGGTGGACTCGGGGTCAGGGGTAGCCGTGCTGGGGGTCGGGGTGGGCGGGCATCTGGCAGTAACGGTTAGGAGGGCCTGGGGCCACCATACCAATGGCATCCTTGAGG